CGGACTCTGTTCTAAGCCAACAAAATCCAATCTCCTTGAAGTCCTATCACACAGATCCTGCTTGATATTATCCTCCCATCTACGTCTAGGTCTCCCCAGCGGTCTCTTCCCTTCAGGTTTCCCAACTAGTACCCGGTGCACACCTCTTGTCCCATCCATGCGCGCTACATGCCCCGCCCATCTCATTCTTCTCGACTTAATCCCCCTGACAATATTGGGAGAGGAGTACAATTTTTAAGTTCATCTTTATGCAGTTTTCTCCATGCCCCATCGTCTTCTCTCCTAGGCCCAAATGTCCTCCTCAACACCCTGTTCTCAAACACCTGCAATCTATGTCAAAGACCATGTTTCGCACCCATCTCACCTATGCTAACAATTTTAAATTGACTAACAAGTAATGAACTGAAAAATATGTCTGTTCATTTTCGAAATGCGCAGGTAGGTATATTCTACATACTACTGTGGCAATTGCTTTGGAACTACTTTCGGGGAATCCCTGTGTGTTTGTGTAGTGGGACTTGAAATCGAACCAAGTATCTCAGCGGTTCCTTCAGACAAGTCGAATCGAGTCGTTGCTAGTTTTTGTAGTTGTGAGCGACAGCTAAAATTATTTTAATTGGATTCGCTTTACATTCCGAACTGTTTAAGTAACTCAAAAGTGAAAGTAAATGATTGTGTCTTCCTTCGTCAGCAGGTACCGATCAACAGAACAAGCTGTTATTAGGTAGCCTGTTATTTACATTTTTACTACTATAACTTTTTAGAGTAAAATCAATACAGACTATTGCTTTGTTATTTCCATAAAAAATAATACCAAATTAGTCCATGGCTGTGTATTTAAAGACCAACCTTCAGTCCAAAAAACATAAATTAACAAGTCTAGAGGGTCGTAGCCAAACGAGACTAGAGTCGGTCTACACGTGATGTTCAAAGTAATGTCCTTTCATAAAGGACATTTTTAATTAAACTTACGGGTTATGATTAGTTAAGAAATAGAAATTATATCCAGCCTTCCGGGAATCAGTCTATATCGAGTCTTGTTGCTGTAGCATTAATTTCTTTTAAACTCTATTGTATTCAACGCACTAAAGAGGTTTGTGCAGATAGATCGACTTGAAGTGTTAAGTTACGTTAATTGGACGATTAGCCGAAGCTTTATAATCTGAGTTATTCACAGCATCGATAAATAAACCGTAAATAACTTGTACTAAATAAATAAGACAGCACTGATGAGAGGCGTACACAATTCGGGTCTTACAGATTAAATAAGCACCGGTTATGTATTTTTAAACTGAAAATATTTTGATAAAATTTATGCTTTAGTTTCTCACGGCGGCGAGTATAACCGAGGGAGATACCCATATTTATCCTGATAAGGCATGAAACAAGGAACAAAATAGCATCAGTGTAACTCGCAGTGACACCGCAAATTCTTGGGTGACGTGTTTATACGGAATGAAGACGTGGTCCTGCTAGTTTTAAAACTGGAAGCAATTTTTTGTAGGTTTGCCTATCTCCCAAGATGCCGGGCAAAAAGTTCCAAAATACAGTTACTGCTAGTTGAACTGTAGGAATAGAGATTGATCTGATTTGAGATGTGTGTCTATGTGCCTCAGGGTGCAGCCACTCAGACACTCAACATTCCCCACTGCACAAACTGCGCAACTCTGGAAACCGGTCTCAGCAGAAGCTTCACAAAAAGATACGACTGTCACCTGAAATTGTGGCTAATTACACGGTACTTTGAGGGGGAAGGAGAAACGGAGGAAGCGAAAGTGAGAAAAGCATCCAGCTTTAATAAGAATAAACATGAAGATAAATAAGAATGAAGGAAGGGATATGAAGACATTGGATTAAATCTAGACGAATAAAGCCAAAGATGAAATAAAAGAGAAGATTAATGCTAAGCGAAACAATTAATTTAGATGACAAAATTAAAACAATAAGAAATGTTATGACGTGTAAGGAGATTAAAATATGAAGATTATTAGGAGACAGGTAAGGCACAAAGATTGAGTAAGACTATGAGAAGGTGTTTAGGTCTATAATGAAGCTCAAAACGAGTTGAATGTGGCGTAGATGTGTTAAGGGAAGTAAAGAAATTCACAAGATGAAAAACCAAGGTAAGATGATGCAGAGTAAGAACAGAATAAGATGATGTGAAAATGTATTTGTTGGTTATTCTTTAAAGAATAACAGATTAGGCCGTCTGACCTGAATCCGAGAGTTAATTGGCAAGACTTCTTGGACGGGGGATTTGTTCCCATAGTAAAAAGAGTAATTATTGGAATGAACATGAATATTATATAAGTTAATGTAATAAATAAAGACGAATGCTGAGAGAGAAATAGTCTGAAGGTGTCCAGATCGATCTCCGGCGACGGAAAATTTAGATCGTCATTCAGCTGTGAGTGTTGACTAATTTTCAGCTTAGGATTCGCTGCGGGCAGGGACTTGAAAAGTAAAGGCCTACAACATGTTGTAAGTTATGGCCTATAATGATTATTCGTAACTTCGGTCTTCTTACCTTCAACGTCGAACTTCATCGTGCCAGGTTACGTCAGGTTAGGTTAGGTTAGGTCAGGTCAAGTTAGGCTTGGTTGTAAGCTTAGGTTACGTTAGTTTATGCTAGACATTTAGACGCCACATTTTTGTTTTGTTACCTTGGGCGTGTTCATACAGTCAGATTTACTGGAGTGGTTTATCCGTTCCCATAGCAACTGCAAGCGGTCTGGTGCCACGAGACTAAATGCTGATAGTGTCTGAATTTCTGACCCTTACTCATACCACAGTTGTAGTGTGACTACAATGCAAATCCTCGGAAGAATTATCTTATCTAGAATTGATCAGAAACCAGTTTCTTTTAGACTCAGGAGAACAATGGTTCGCTACAGACGGAATGAGATTAAACATCAGTTGGGATCAGAGCCTGCGATATGCCAGTATGAAATGGGTCATTGGTCCATTTTACGGTTAACCATCTTGTCCAGGAAACTGGATTCGAATCTTGATCGAGAAATGGACTTTCTGATTGCATAAGTTATGGTTTTGCTTGTTAATTAAATTACACTTTCTTAGTCCAATATTTTATGTAGCTACAGATGGGAGAATTAATTGATTGATGAATTTGAGAAGGCAGGGATTTGTCATTCTATGAGGCATTCATTCTACACCGAGACTTGTCTGGGGAGACTGAGGAAAATCAAGAAACACTCCTCAGTCCAAATAGACAATTTTGAGTCCGAATATCGATCCCGAGAAATTTCGTGTACAAAGCAGTTTGATTTCTCATTTAGTGGTTCTCCTCAGTTTCTGGTACTTTTTATTATTCAAATAGGCTACTACCGCCACCTGGTCTTAAAAATTCATCTTATCGTCATTTTTCATTCACCGCTGATAATAAGTCTGTGGCGTTGCTAAATACCCCACTAACCCAGTACCTAGATGAAATTTTATCTTCACCGTCTCTTTGACGTCACTACTAACCCACAGTAGGGCCTAATAATTGAGTGTGTGTGGGCGTCTGACGTAATAGGAGCGTATGTGGCTAAAGAATATTCTCTCAGGTGAACGAACTAGGAAGCTCATCTCCAGCTGATGACCTCACCGTACTCTGCTTGTTATCGGCAAAGGGTATCCTATCCCACGAACAATGTTAGGTAAATGCTAGGCGCTATTAAAATATGTAGTCTCGTAGAAATTAACCGACGTTTCAGAGATGCCTACTGTCTCCATCAATAGGGCGACGATCACCGGTCAATTTCTATGAGACTACACTCCGCAAGATCCCGTAAGATAATGAAACAATACTCGCAGCCTTTAGAACCTGATATCTTACAAAAATGTCTTATTCCGAATTTCCTACCTGCAACAACTACTCTTCTCTGGGTGTCGTAGAGAGAAAGGTTTAACTTATGAAGCCACACATCTGTTTATGAAGATCCGGTTGACAGAACTAACATATTCTAAACAATTTATATGATTGATAATATACTTTTTGTTTATGGATTTTTAAATAAGGTGTCATATGCTATATCACAGAATATATCCTGGTAAATTAATAATGAATTGCAATGAATGTTGGAGGAAGCGGTCGTGGCTTAATTTTAGGAACTATTTCTATATTTACCTGGAGGTACTGAGGAAAATTACGAAATAGTCTGTCAGTGTAACCAGCCTTTAGGCCGAGACATAAACCCGGAACCTCTGTAGTACGAAGCAGGAGTGCTAACCACTCGTCTGTGAAGTTGGTAATATTATTGGAGGCTACTTGTTGATTCAAATGGATAACTTGGTCATTTGACTGGTTCATAGACAGACTGTAATTGGTTCTTTTTCTAGTAACATTTAGTATCACACACATGAACTGAATTACAAATTAGACTTCGTTTTACAAAAAAGGTGATCAATAATTTACTCGGTTATTTTTGTCTTCGTTGAATAAAGTCAGATTTTCCGGAATTTAGATTTTGATAGTGAAACTAAATATGACAAACATTTATGATATAATTCTGCAAACAATTTGCAGTTTAAATAAAATCAGTTATTGGGTGCTTCAGCAATAAATCTTTGCAAGTCACTTTGACATTCAAAGATGGACAACAATAACAGGAAATGATAATGATAAATCACTGTCTGCAAAATAATTATTACGTTCATAAAAAGGTACTTAGCCTATTTGACTAAATTCTTAAACTATGGCATTAATCACGTCATCACAAGTCGTACGTACTGGGAATCCGATAGCTACTCCTGTAATTAGTAATCCGGTTGACTTGCATGCGGTTTAGGCCGAAAGAATTTACTACCTTCTAGAAATTAAATCACTTTTAATAATAAAGTATTACACCTATTTTGTCCCCTAACTCGGTTAAGTGCTTGAATAAAACTACGTTTGTATAATAGTTATCTCACGAACTGAGAAGAGTGCGAGATAATTAGGTCAAAGCGTGTGACATATCACCGTAAACAATTAGCACAGCCTTCGGAATTTTACTCACAGTATAACCATGACGTCTGGCCGCACTGGTGCGTGATGTGTGCTTGTGAAGTCGCCACGCGCGTGCTACTACTGAACGTTATCGTCCTCGGAAGCCCTTGCAATTCATTTCCCATACGCTCCTCCCCCCACGGCCAACCGTACGGCCGGCCCCCCTCCAAAACCCGCACAAACACGCCCCCTATATTAGTGTTATAATTATCCACTAACAGCTTCTTGCAAAATGCAGTTCCAGATATTTAACCCTTTGATCAAACGCTGTAAATTAATTGTTGAGATGGAGACCTATAGTTAATGATGGTTACCCAAAACATCTTAATTAAGCTAAACGAGCTATGTAACATACTGTAATATACTTATAATAATAATAATAATAACAATAACAACATCATGACGTCATTTTTTGAAGACGACGAAAATCACAAATTTTTATAGTAGATATTATTAAATTACCACAATAGCCAGATATCGGACTTAAAATCAATCATAATATGCCAGGTAGTTTTAAAACGTTACGAGACGTAATCTAAAACAGTTAATTTTTTTAGAGAAGGCCACTTAGCAGCGCGTAAGGGGAAGTGAGGGGAAGAGTTGAAATGCTATGTGTAGTCTGTTAAGAATTGGCGCGCTGTAACTATAGATCTAATGGAAAACATTTATCTCAACGAAAATGTTATTATCAATACCTTTAAGGTACAATTTGGCTGCACGCGACAGAGACAAGCGACCGAGGGAGGCGACAGAGACGGGAGACGGACACATCGCAGCTTGTCGCCACACACTTCTGAGGTGACGACCGAGACATGCGGCAAAGTGTTTGTTTTCTTTGTTTTGTTGAGACATA